GTAACATTCTGGATATAGATGTGTGCACCTGTCACATTGTTGATACAGGTAGGTTGTAGCGGTCACATCTTGGACACAGGTGTGTTACGTGACACATTGTGGATACAAGGAGGTTGTAGCCGTAACATTCTGGATATAGATGTGTGCACCTGTCACATTGTTGATACAGGTAGGTTGTAGCGGTCACATCTTGGACACAGGTGTGTTACGTGACACATTGTGGATACAAGGAGGTTGTAGCCGTAACATTCTGGATATAGATGTGTGCACCTGTCACATTGTTGATACAGGTAGGTTGTAGCGGTCACATCTTGGACACAGGTGTGTTACGTGACACATTGTGGATACAGGTAGGTTGTAGTTGTAACATTCTGGATATAGATGTGTGCACCTGTCACATTGTGGATACAGGTAGGTTGTAGCGGTCACATCTTGGATACAAGTATGTGCACCTGTCACATTGTCAATACAGGTAGGTTGTAGCTGTCACTTTCTGGATACAGGTGTGTGCACCTGTCACATTGTGGATACAGGTATGTTGTAGCTGTAACATCCTGGATATAGGTATGTGATATCTGTCACATTTTGGATACAGATATGTTCACGTGTCACATTGGGGATACAGGCATGTTGAAGCTGTAACATTGTGGATACAGGTATGTTGTAGATGTAACATCGTGGATAACGGTTTGTGGCAGCTGCCACTTTGTGGATACACGAATAATGTATATGTCACATTGTGGACGCAGGCAGAGTGTCGTTGTACCATCGTGGATAAAGGCATGTTGCAGCTGTCTCATCGTGGATACATAAATAATGTATCTGTCACATTGTAAATACAGTTTTACTGTAGCTGTCATATTGTACATAAATGTAGACGTAGCTATCTCTCACCAGGGCCCACATGGAGGCGTACCTGAACGGTAACGGAACAGCCGCCAACAGGTGCATGTCTGTGTTCCTTCGGGTCATCAAGGGGGAGTACGACAGGACGCTCAACTGGCCGGTCAACCTTCACATGGTGGTCATTTTGGTCAACCAGTCAGGTACATCTAGCGTTATTTTGGTTAACCAGTCAGGTAGAATTAGTGTCATTCTGACCCAAGTCAGGTGCGTCTCGTGTATTTTGTGCCTTTCAGTTAGTCTTCAACAAATTGTGAGTAACGGAGATAGCGACTCAGCGAATCATACGAAAGGCTCTTTTGCCACTCTGCTGTGACCAGTTAGCACCAGACCTTTCGCCACTCCGGCGTGACCAGTTAGCACCAGATCTTTCGCCGCTCTGCTGTAACCAGTTAGCACCAGACCTTTCGCCACTCCGGCGTGACCAGTTAGCACCAGACCTTTTACATCGCGGGCTCTTTATTGATTGATGTAATAAGGGCGTCCGAAAAAAGTCTACTTCTTTTTTAACCTGAGTTCAACCGTCACGCATGACACTCGCTGCTAGGCAGCTTGTTTTTTTTTGTTTTTTTTGTCTCAGTACTATTACTATAAAACATGTTGAGTAGGGGTCGGTTGTGAAAAGGAAGCAGCCACACCAGAAGCAAAATATATATGTAGGAGACATTTATGGGTTATCTCTCCAGGGGGATATCCTTTAAAATGTTGCTGTCAACTGTTAACCAAGCGTTTCATGGCAGTTAAAATCAAATAAAAAATCTCTATCTTTTCAGGCCAAAACATGGAATGTCTGAAGGCAGGGGGCCACCAGTTCCAGTTCATGCAGCCCCAGGGTCACGCCGACAGCGAGACCGACTGCTGGGGGCTCATCGAGTTCGTCAGCCACGAGCTGATTCGACGGAAAGATTACATCTCCGGCGATAAAATCGTCATCAAGTGCCGCCTCATGATTCTACCGTCGTAGCGGTAGTGTGTCGCCACCACAGGGTAGTGTATCGCCACCAGAGGGTAGTGTGTCGCCACCACAGTTTGTCTCGCCCACCAACGATTTGGCCCCTTGTTAGAAAGGAGGCTAAGAAATGCAATGACGTGTTTGTATATTATTGTTACGTAGTTGATGAAATGGACCTGCATCGTCCATTGAACAATTGATTCGACTCCTTAGAAAGCAGATGTCTTGATTATAAAAAAAACAAAACAAAAACAAAACAAAAAACTGCATGATTGACTATAAATTTAATACACTGCTGAATCAATGGTGCTAGTAATTTTAATAATAACGTAAAGATGTAAAGAAGAAAAAAAAATGAATCAAGGGTTCTCATCGTATTGAAAAGTATGAATTTTGTTTTTAAATTATTGTTCATTACAGTGTTGAAATCTAACCCACGTTTAAATCGCGCCATCGTTTGAGAGCTCACTAACGTACCCACGAGTCACGAAAAGGAAAATAGAGAAATGTCAATTGTGCTCAAGAAAAGTTTTGTTAAAGTAACCCAGATTTTCAGTATCGGATACACTCAAACGTCATTGGTTTGCCAGTCTCATCAGGCCCTAACGGTCATTGACGCCAGCAGGACATGGAACATGGCGAAGAAAGGGTCCAAAACGTGCAATGTGTGTCCGTTAAAGATGTCTTAGGAAGATGATGTGTTATCAGTTGCAGTGATCTCCGAATTCATACGAAGAAATTTTGTTAATATTGTAAACTAGCAAATAAAATATGATTAAACCGCTTATTTCTTCATTGAGTTTTATGTAATTGTGGCTGGTGTTTTATGATTTATTTATAATGCGGCGAATTGTAATTTTCATCCGCTTCAACTATGGCTATTTTGGGAAAAAAGTCGACCCACATTGATCTAGGAAGGATTATTCAATAATGGTACGTTCACATGTCCAGTCAATGAACACACAACACAATGTTCTCATGTCATGAGCAAAGCCATCTTGCGCACCGTGCACAGGAAAGACGTTCATATTTGTGCACCAATGAAAACTTACATGAAACGTTCATGGATGACCTAGCCGCAATGCGAAAAACATGAATTGTTTTTAATTGGTATAGCTCAGGGGTCGGAAAATCAAGGCTGGCGAGCCGCATGCAGCTCTTTAACGACCTGAGTGCGGCTCGGCCAGTCGGCCACAAATAGGTTTTGACTCGGAAAAACATGTTTCTTGACCAGATATTTGGCTCTCAACAAAATTTTAAAAGTTCTCTCCACAATCTCAGAAACACATCTATCAAAAAACCATTTGTAAAAGTCCTTCCTAGTCCCCGACATCTCCCTACTTATGACACACATCTATCAAAAAACCATTTGTAAAAGTCCTTCCTAGTCCCCGACATCTCCCTACTTATGACACACATCTATCAAAAAACCATTTGTAAAAGTCCTTCCTAGTCCCCGACATCTCCCTACTTATGACACACATCTATCAAAAAACCATTTGTAAAAGTCCTTCCTAGTCCCCGACATCTCCCTACTTATGACACACATCTATCAAAAAACCATTTGTAAAAGTCCTTCCTAGTCCCCGCCATCTCCCTACTTATGACACACATCTATCAAAAAACCATTTGTAAAAGTCCTTCCTAGTCCCCGCCATCTCCCTACTTATGACACACATCTAATTACTACAGTTACTTTAATAAAGATGTATTTAATGACATTAAATTGTAACAAAAGAAAGCAAAAAAAGTTAATTGTTTCCGGACAGAAAACTACTCAATATTCTTTTTCAATTCCGCTGCCATGTTGTTTTTTTTTCAATAATCATAAAATGGACATCTATTTGTATTTAAAATAAACTTTATTTAGAGACATACTTTTTTTTATTTCAGAGTATAATAAAGTGAAATTAAGTTTAAATTTTCTTTTTTTATAATAGCAAGAAAATAAATTTGACATTGAATGACATTAATATATTATAACACGAATGTAACATTAATATCATAACATCAAAGTAATGTGAAAGGTAACATTCAATCAGAAATGTAAATTGTAACGTCTTCAATCTAAATTTTGTTCGCCTCCCCACCTCTCTCTCTCTCTCTCTTGCACCCAACACCCTCTTCCACCTCCCACTGAAACAGAGAAGGTCAGCTAAAGTAATGGCGATTACAACTCTCGGAACCTACAATCAAAATTTTAAAGTGACGCGTCTCACATTGCCGGTCGTGTTGTTAGAGATTACACAAGCCAATCGTCACGTGGTGATGCCCATAACCGCTGCAAACCAGGTAATTTGACTGACATGATCAAATGACGCCACACTCGTTCAGTTCCATGCTGTTTTGTTGTTTAGCATTTTCCCCGTGTGCCTTAAGAATAGATCAACACTTTTAGACAACATTTTTTTTTCTGTGGTTATTTTTGTCCTAATATTTTAATACAAGGCGCATGAACACGCGGCACGTGAATGGTTTGCACGCTAACAAAGTGTGCCCCCCTCCGCCCAGTAGCCCTTTGGTTAAGGCGCCCGTGCTCTAAATGGTTGCAATGATAATTCCAAAATATATTAGTTTGAAGCTTATACCAGTTATAGTCATTTAAAAAATATAATTTAAAAAATATTTTTAAAAATGTATCAAAGAAGCACTAAAAAGTAGAAAATAAATTACTATTTCTTAAAATGCATTACACAAAGAAAGACTGTGCTCAAGTGCAGTTGCGCGCTCTACTCAGCCAAACGATTCGAATGGAATGTAGGCGAAACCTAAATATTTTTTATTTTTTATCAATTTTTGAAAAAAATTTTCCGCACAGACTTTTTTGTGTGTAAGAAATCAATTTAAAAAAAACCAAAAAACAATTTGATTTCTTGTTTAGTGATGATATGATGAACACTGATTTAAAACATTTCAAGTTAATGTCCGATGGATGAGATGAGGATGATCGAATTAAGTCACATTTGATAGACATATTGGATTAGATCATAAGATACACTAGATAAAATCTCCTTGTGGGTAATCCAGTTCATAAATAATTTTTTAATACATTTTAATATATACGTTATATAGTTTATATTTAAAAAACAACAACAACAACAAATCAAGTGAATCTTGTTACAAGGGAAAAAAATGAGATTAGGGAATAAACAAGAAATAAATTTATTTAAAAACAAAATGACGTCACAAGGTTAATAATATCCTTTAAGTGTTTTTTTTTTGGGTGGGGGGGGGGATGTGAGAAATAAAAGGTCGCGCAATGAAGTAACCGTCTCATATGACTATGCCCCAGTGGAACTTTTCAGTCAGCGTAATACACAGTTGGAATACATCCTACCATCATGTACTATAGCGTGTCAAGAACATCTGGCCACACACCCCAGTTCTTAAAGATCTCCGCTGGCTCCTGTGAGTGGGCGCATTTGACCACAAAATTCTGTTCCTGGCGTATAACGTGCATAGAAGGCTCAGCACCTGAATATCTTCATAAACTAATTTCTAAAAATGTATCTTCAGAAACTAATTTCTAAACATGTATCCATACAGAGCCTGCGCTCTTCAACACGGTCTTTACTGAGAGTTCCCAGTGTGGATGGACACTGACAGAAGTCATACGGAGTGCGCTCTTTTGAAGCCGTTGCGCCTAAATTGTGGAACAGTTTGCCTCAATCTTTGAGGGATATTGAAAATTGTAAAAATTCATTTAATAAACCATTTAAAAACATTTAAAAAAAAAAAATTAGACTTAAGACATCGGAGCGCGGTGAGCCTGCTCAAATAGCATGGACATAAGCGCTATAAAGATACTCATTCATCATCATCATCATCATCTTAAAATCATGTACTGAATATATCAAGGTCACTTGGTGACATGTTGCACTCCCCAAACCCTTGAACACCACCACCCAACACCCCACTCCTGATGTCCGTGCCGTACTATATGGAGGACGTCAGATGATAACAGTAGTGTTATTCACTGACGCCATTAGGGCCCCCTTTTTTTCTGCATCTTCTTGTAATTGGAACTATCGTTATTTAAAAATTTAGAACCATCCAAAGAACTCTGGTCAATTTTTTCTAGAAGGAGGTGCACTAACACAGTGACGATGACACAGTGACACTGATACAGTGACACTGACACGGTGACACCGACACAGTGACACTGACACAGTGGCACTGACATGGCGACACTGCCGTCGTGACGCTGACATAGTGACACTGACATAGTGACACTGACATAGTGACACTGAAATTGTGACGCTGACATTATGTGAGGAGTTAAGCTGAGAACGGGTATTTTATGCGGAGTATTGCACAATTCTTATGATGTTTTACGTAAGCCATAATACAAACATACGGTATTCTAAAAGATTGGAATGTTATTAACTGAAACAAATTGCAAAATTGTTTTAAAAAAAATTATTTTAAACTTTAATTTAACATCGGCTCATATTCCCAAATCTGTTTAAGTACCCTGCGATGCAGATCAGAACGGACAGAATGCAGACATTTGCCGTGAACCAGAATACAAGGGACGGAAAGCTCTTCGAAACTAAATAACAACCAAAATGCTTATACGTCAACAACACGCGATGAATGACATCATGGCACAGAGTAGGGGCACACCCGTGCGTTCACAACAAGATAAATGTCACGTGGCACAGATGACATGCTCACCTGTGCGTTCCAACTGTACTGGTTTTACCGAAAATCACAATCAATAAATGCGCTTTAAAAAAAAATAATTATTTAACATTTTTTTTATTTTGCCACATCCATAATGTTAAAATCGAGGATAACTGCCCGAGGCTTCCCCTCCCCCCCCCCCCCCCAAACCGCCCCCCCCCCC